CATCCTCATGTGATCAGCCGAGCTGGCCTGTACCACACAGTTAGCTGTGGGGCAGGAAAGGTATTTGGAGTTCTGCTGCCTAAGCTGCGAGGTAGCGAGGCCTGCTTCTTCCTGCTCAGCTATTCGCTGCGCGCGCGCATCTTTGCGGCTTTCTACCCCAATTGCACTGGTCTCGCGGTCGTCGCGGCTGAGCCAGCGCCCGGTTCCAGCGGGGGTGGTGGCGAAGGCCGGATCGATATAGTGAGTCGGAATTATACTGGTTGGGTCTCTATCTCCCCAGAGAGCTGGTATCGGAACCCGACGCAGTGGAGCGCCGCCTAGACCGCTTTGCTGGAACAGCTGGACCTCGGTCGGACCAGCAGCATCGTGGTGATAAGTCCGCAACGCACAACTCTGCCAGGCACCGTTGTTCGAGGCACCAGTTTTCTGTAGCTGCGGAGTGTCCTCAACTGCGAGGCTGATCAGGTAAGCTGCGTGGCCATTTCCCAGGCGCTGATTTAGTGCATGTGCCAGTGTCCGTGCACCACTCACATCTGCTCCACCAGGCACTTTAGTAAATAGGTAAGCGACTCTGCCTGCAAAGTCGACTCCGTTATAGCAACCCGCACCATCACTATCCAACAACACCCCCTCATGACCCTCACCCCCTCACTTCTTCACATGCTCAGATAGAAGTGCAACTAAGCACTGCACGACTGCCTCGCCGTTTTCGGTCGCTGTGTTCTGCACTATTTGGTGCACAAAGTAAGATTGGTACTGCTGTTTTGTCCTACTCCACCAGTAGACCCACCCTCCATGCCATGCGATCCCTTTCTTACCAAAGAATTCTTGCATATTCTCACGGTATCGGCCAGGGTTGTACTTCATGGCCCAGTCTAGCGTAACTCCAACGAGATCTGGATGGTCGTGGAGCCTAATGAGCTTCTGATGCCAAGCTTCTTTTTCGTTTGCTAGACGTGCCTGATGCCCGATGTAGTGACGATAGCGACTGAGGTGGTACTGCAAGTGAGTGTCCCCTCTAAGCTCCTGCAGGTCGTCGTGGTGTGTCTGCCACTCCAAGCCAGGACGTCTTTCAGCGAACAGAGTGGTTTCAACAAGGTCGACGTAAGTGTCTATCATGGAGGGTAGCAGCATCAGCTGCTCACATGCATGGCAGCTGCCTATGTGCATATGTCCGCAGGCACTCGGACCAGCGGTGGGGGGCGTAGAGACTGAGCCATCGACCCCTCGGAAGGCAAACCAGCTGCAGTGAGATGCGGGTCCACGGTCTGCGGCGTGGTTGCCACAGCAGCCGCAGCCAAAATGATCAGTAGACCAGAACCCCTCGCGAGACTTTACAAAGTTCTCCACCACTGCAATCAGACTGGTTATGCGGTTGCACAGGCCCTGCACTACCTCGCTATCCGGGACCATTATGGCAAGCAGCATTAATACCTGCCGGAGCTTTTGGAAGTTTTGACGGCCGTGTACCTCACTGATCACGTCAAGGGCGGCCAGGCTCTTCAGTTTGCTCGGGCAGACAATCTTGGCGATCGTCTTCATCTCACTCTTGCGAATGCCCAGGTATTGACGGGCACCCCTGTTATTCGGACGGTCAGTGGTGGGTATGGCCGGGGGTGGGGGTGCCGGGGGTGCGGGTGCCGGGGGTAGGGTTGCCAGTGGTGAGGGTGCCAGGAGTGGGGGTAGGGGGGGCACGTATATGGGTAGTGTACCACTATAACCTGGCACATTCTTAAGCACCCGTTGATTGTGCATGAAGCGCTTGATGAGGAAGTCGATGGTCTCCCTCCTGTAAATTTGAGGGAGAGCGTGCGTCTGCGACTTCGAGTCTCTTATTCGGCGCGCATTCGCCGTTTTGACGCCAGCATCCACAAGGTAAGTTACCCATGCGCGCATTGTGTTTATCCTGCGCTGAAGTCCCCTGCTGTTTTTTGCCGCGGTATTTACCACGGCGCCCGCAACTTCCGCTTGAGCTGCATGTAAACCCATTTCCGCAAATATCCCCTTACCAACTCTGCACCCCACAAAAATTTCAATGTCCTTTCTGAACATCCCGCATATCCCACGCAGGAGAGAGCCGAACTGGATAATCCACCCCCTATCCTTACGGAGGGTGGCGGCCTTCCACAGATCAGGCAGGGCTTCGAGCAACAAGCCCTTCTGCGTTGGAGTCTGCCTCGGGAAGAGGTGGAGGACTAACGGCAGCAGCTCCTCTTCCTTCAGCAGGGGGAAAGTTTGCTGGAACTTCCGGAGTATTACTGCTTCCACCTCCGACTTCCGCGCTTTACCTAATTTTTCCACTGGTTTAAAGACTGCTGTGTCCCCCTTTCGCTGTCTGTCACCCCTTCTCTCAGCACCACCCTTACTCCTGGGTCTCCTGCTGTCACCGCCAATCCTATTCGTAGGACTGAGGTAGGGGTAGAGGTAGGGGTAGGGGGGGGGGCAGGGGCAGGGGCAGGGGCAGGGGCAGGGGCAGGGG